TTGCATCATATGACCCCTTTAAAGTCATTCTCTACTCTCTATTAACCAATATAAGAGGCATTAATTTAAAAATGAAAAGCAATAAGCCATTAAAATCAAGAGGTGTAAATAAATGTAATTAAAACTGTGCTGAAAAGTACACGGTATACATAGAAATGAAAGGCACTGTCAAAACATAACCCACATTTACAATAACTTCATGCTTTTAATACTCACATTTATGTGTTTGTATTTTCTGCCATGGTTACCACTTGGTGCAGATGTGAAGGGGGAGGAGAATTTGAAAACAAGACGTACTTGAAAACAAGGAGAATCTTGAACTTGATAAGAGCCTTGACTGGAAGCCAGTGCAGAGACATGAGAAGCGGTGTGACATGGGCTCTCTTGGGCTCATTGAAAACAAGACGTGCTGCTGCTTTCTGAGTTATTTGCAGAGGTCTGATTGCTCATGTTGGAAGTCCAGCCAGAAGAGTGTTGCAATAGTCCAGCCTAAAAATGACAAGAGCCTGGACGAGAATCTGTGTAGCATGCTCTGTTAGGAAGGGTCTGATCTTCCTGATGTTGTGTAGTGCAAACCTGCATGATCATGCATGCTTTAAAGGTCAGCTGATCATCAAGGATCACCCCAAGATTCCTGACCGAACTCGATGGGATTATCGTTGATGAGCCCTGCCCAGTTGGATGGTAAACTGGTGCTGTACTGATGGGGTGGCTGGGAAGATGAGAAGTTCTGTCTTTGCCAGGCTGAGCTGCAGGTGATGCTCTTTCATCCATGCCGAGATGTCATTCAGGCAGTCTGAGATCAGAGCAAGGACTGTTAGATCATCTGGTTGAAATGAGAGGTAGAGCTGCATAGCTGTCATCAGCATAGCAGTGGTAGGAAAAACCATGTGCCTGAATGATGGGAAACATTTCTTATCAGTGTTGAAAACAGTTGTCCTGCTTTTTTTTGTAACAGTGTAAAAGTCTTTACTATCACTTTTGATTATTCTTACAGAATAAAAGCATTACTTTCTTTGGTGATGTCAGCTGAAAAGAAAAGTAATTTTTGGAGACACAAGATATTATATTTTGATTACATTTTTTCTATAGTGTTTGTTCAATGATTAATTGTTCTAAATATAACAAGAGACATGTATTAAAAAGGTCATTTTGACTTCATGTTGACTTGATTTAATCTATGCAATATGGGATCATCATGATTCACTTTTTTTTCTTCAGTAGATGTTTAAGACCATCAAAAATGCTCATAAAAACTCATGTAATGTCATGTTTTATGCACACTAATGCCCATAATTACACACCATTACACTTTAAATTCCTCCGTCGCTTGCATGGACCTGTTGTTTGATAATCGACTCCTTGTGCGATCCGAAAGCCTAAAGCTTTATTTAACTCTGTCAATGAAATAAACAAACAAACCATTAAAACAGAGCAAACATCCACAGTGGTGACATGGGGGGCTTTTCCTGCCTGTGACAGCATGCTTGGTTGCCCCCACTGAGTGCTGTTTCTTGATAGCAATGTTTGCACTGTAAAAAGGCCTCAGCGTGTCTTTCTCTAATTGCTTCCATGTGTGAGTGTGACTCTGATGGCTAAACATGCTGAACTTGTATTGAACACCCTGTTTTTTGGTGGTAAGGTAACATACGAGGGATAGTATGTGTAACTTTCATTATGCTTTAAATTGTAAAGATGCAATTTTTCTACACCTATATTGTAAGTTGCTGAATAGTAGTTGTTGTGTTACTTTACGTGGGCATTCATATGTTAATTTGCTCAAGGTTGTGACATCATAACTATACTGATTTCTGAATGAGCTGTTTTTCAAATGAGCTATGCGTTGTGATATTTAGCATATGTTTACATAGTATTTACTGTTCAAAGAGCAAGAACAGTCTTATTTTCCATAATGTGTCCCTTTAGTGCATACTTTAGGGGAGCAGAGGAAATGACATTTATATGACACATGAGTGTGCTGTGAAGGGAATTTGTGTCTCTCAGACTTGGACTGGGTGTTTGTCAGTGGTATTATTGTACATCAGTAATTCATACCCCTCAGGGGAGAGCTAATCACTGGGGATTGTGCTGTAGACCAAAGTGTGAGGAATTCCTGTCCCAGTCCAGGAATGGGCCAAACTGTGGGATGACAATGTCAGATCGGAAACAAAAAGAATAAAAAACACCAGAAAGGGATTTAGGCATCAGCATATTGTTCTTCTACAAATGTATTTGATGACACATCCGTACACGTTTCAAAAGAGATTTTGTGCCTAGCTTTTGTTTTCTTTCAATAAATCATGTGTGAAATGGAAGCTAACGGAACAGCTTCTGTCAGTTAATGTTGGCATTATCTGCCAGCTCTACTCAATAACACACATAGACAACATCTTTCATCATCTCAGCTGAATGAAGGAACGCATAGAGAGAGAATGATAGGCTTTCCAGGGGCCCATTTCAATAAGGAGGTTCAACCAACTCTGAGTTGAAACCTGAAATGAGATGGGAAAGTTTTTGGGTTCAGCTGAATTGAGTTCAGTCAACTCGGAGTAGGTTGATTCTGAGTTTAGCGCGTGCACCACGACAATGAAAAGCCATGATCAATGGAGCTCTGAAATTATGATTCACCATGGCAACAGCACCCAACAAAGAGACGTCCACATACTTCCGAGTCAATACGTAACTTTAATTCTTAATCAATGTTAAAATATCAAAGGTAACAACTGGCAGAACGGTAAGTTATTGAACTAATATTCATTTTCATGGTATCCCACAGGCAAAAGAAAAAAGACAAAAAGCAGCTAAACATGAAGTATAAAAACATAATTCAATCAGGTAAAGCTTTAAACATAAAAGGTTCATGAGTGTAGGCTACATGAATTTACAAACATTTGACATATTAAATAAATATCATTCAGTGTCTATTTAAATGTGCAGCTGCTTTTTCCAGTCTAATGCTCTTTTTACATAATTAAATGTTCTCTAATCCAAACTGTTGCATTTCTTAATTACAGTAATGACATTTACGTTTGACTTCTACTCAGCCAACAGCAAGAAGGCTCGCAAAATAATGAACAGATGAAGAGGGCATTGCCACAATATTAAAATCCTACAAGAAAAAGAACAAAAACTGTTGTTTTTGTATTTGTAGGAAATAAAGATGACCAAATAAATTTAACAGCTGTGGTGGTGGTTATGGCATATATCTCGAACTACTCTTCCATCTGGCATCCTTCCATTCCATACAGTAATCAGCTTCATTTTCGATAGGTTTGTGCTCAGGAAACTACACAAAAATTCTCATAAAGAGCGTGAGAGCGAGGCCTTAGTAATGTGCTCTGCATCTGCGATGTTATATAGAAAACTACCGTTTAAAAATGGTACCGCTCAAATAAATATGCATGTGGATATGGCAAAAAGAAAAATCAAAATAAACCTCTCCCGATGTAAATGTAACTCCCTACGAATGAATGCAGCCTCTTTATTTACAGGAACCTGTAAAAATGGCTTTTTTTGGTCACTGTCAGAGTGTCTGCATGATGAAAATAGGTGCAATGATTGAATGTACCTAAATGGTTTTCTTACTTAGTATTTTTGTCTTGTTTCCAGTCAAAATATCTAAAGATTCTTAAATCAAGATGCATTTTCTACACTTCGCTTACACTTTAAAAAGGGGAAGGAGTCCGAAAAAAACTCTGGGTTTACCAAAGAAAACCTGCTGCCGACCAGGTTAGGTTCCCAGAGTAAGTTACCATGGTAACTGACTCAGAGTATAAGTTCCCTCTCAGAAACGGGCTTGACTTACCCTGCTTTCTTTAGAAGTTGGAGCCGTGGCTCCATGTGAGTTGTTGTGTTCTTTCATTCCTCTCTCTTCCAATAATTCCCTGTCTCTCTCCACTATATCTATAAATATTTTTTTGAAGAAAATGTGAGTGGTGTTTGCTCATTGCCTCTATGATGCTAGAATGTTGTGGGTGGTTACCAGGTTGTTTCTATATGATTGCTAAGGTGTACTATGTGTTTTTTTTAAAGGGTTGCAATGCAGTCGCTAAAATATTCTGGGTGGTTGTTAGGGTGTTAAGGGGCTTGCTCAAAAAGGTACAAAGAGAGAGACTGAGGAACAGAATGAAGGCAGGCCTAGAGACTGAGAGGATGAGCGCATCAGCCAGAGGGAGGATGTTCTAGACTAGAGCTCGCGAGTGAGGACAGAGGAATGGGACAGGGCAGAGGAGGAGCAGGCAGCTATCTGAGGCTGCTGTGAACACAACTGGACCATATGCTGACTGAACCAAATTTTGGACTTTTAAAGACCTTGGAGGAAAAAAGATATGCTCAGATCTGAGGGACACACATGTTTCTTCTGCATGATGTAGTGATGGGATCGACCAGTAAGTGTGTAAGAGCCACAGTTAGACTTTTTCTTCACATTAGTTTGAGAATGCTGTATGTATCAAGCGTTATATGTTCAGTGTTGTGTTCAGAGAGAGATTTCTGCAGACTGAGTGGTTTTTGTTCAGCAAATGTGTTATTCAGCACAAGTATGTGGAGAATCCTGTACGAAAAGGGTATATCGGATTGTGCTGAGGTCATTTCCTGGCCTGTCCGCTTTTATGATGGCTTATTTTGAGAGATGCTTTGTTTTTACTTTCTTATTTCATCTCTTGTGGATATTTCTCAATGAAATGTGGTGTAAATGGATCTAGACAAAACAGAAAAAGAGACCAAAAAAACCCACACTCATAAGGAATCCCGTTCTTCATTTTCTTTACTTATCTCAACTTTAATGTCATTTAATACATTATATTGCATATGTGCATTAATTACATTGCAATACATGTAATTCTTATTAATAATAATAATAATCAGTATTTATGTATTTGCTGTTTTTGCTTTATTGAGGCCAATAGCTAATATTTATGAATAAATATGAACATGTGTGTGTGATCAGGTCGAAATTGATTAATAAACTGTTGAAGAATCATGTCATTGTTTGTTTTTAGAAATCGAGGCAAAGGAGGCATGTGACTGGCTGAGGGCGGCGGGATTCCCACAGTATGCCCAACTTTATGAGGGTAAGAAATGGGATTCATATCTATAAACATACACACAGATGTCAAAGAATCGCTCGTTGATTCGGTGGCCTCAACAAATTTCTGCAGTGTGATTGCAGCTGTGAGGTTAAGTGACGGTAAAAAATCAGGAATGCGGTGGGACGAGAGAGAGAACAGTTGACTGTTGCTTTGAGTTTGAGATCACACCTATCCCATCCCACCTCAGCTAAACAGACAGAAGCCAAGCAGTGATCACAAACTGAATTCTTTTTGGTTTTCCGTTTCAGACATATGGAATAAAAAATGCATTTACACAACTGTGTGCTCCATTTGTCAGCACATTTTTTTCCTCCCTCTCTGTATCTTTTCTGGTCATTTTAGGGCCGCGGCGAGCTATTTGCAGGCTAGAGTTTCTATCCAAAGGGAAGGAAGAGGTCATGGGAAAAAGTCTTCATTATCACTGCCGGGAAAATACAGGCCTTTGCCTCAGTCTTCCGCCCAGGCCAGCATAGGGGTCGAGAGGATACTATTCTCTCTGCTTCTCTCTCTCTGTTCCCCTGACTCCTCCTTATGATACTTTACGTCAATGAGTGATAAAATGTCAACAATTCTATATTTAATTCCGTGTAAATTCAGAGCTTGGCTCTCATGAGAGAATCATAAAATGGAAGAAGCTCTGTTTGGCCTTGTGAAGCCATTATGCCATTATGACATAAATAAAGAACTCCCAGATTCCAATGGGAAAACACCTTAGTGCACATCTTTATCTATCTTAATTATTTGTATTTGTTTGAGTCAGATCGAGGGAGTTAGGCGTTAACCTCTGGTTCCGTTTCAGAGCCAGTCTGCTCTGTATAATGTAATCAGTGAAGCAGCATCTGCCAGAGATTACGTTCGATTTATAAGAATTACACCACAGCTGCTGTGGATCTCTGCAGAACCTCTGCAGATGTCTGGACAGATGAACTTAAAGAGTTTTATCCAGTTCTTTGTTTATTAATCACTTTTCATTTTAATTCATGATTTTGATTTGTTTTATATGTCTTTGTATGAAAATAACATTAAATAACATGCACTTGATCCATGAGTGAACTTTTGTGATCACTCACTCTGAATATTTTGGTTACATTACACCTTTTGAACAGGACAGAGAAGTGATCTGCTTTCTGTCTCTGCCTGCAGATTCCCAGTTTCCCATTGAAATATCTGCCGTCAAGAGGGACCATGACTTTCTCGACAAAGACCTTGTGGAGCCTCTTTGCCGGTAAGATTCCAAATATCTAGATTAAGATTATCTCTTAGATTCTTTAGATTCAGAGTCTTGCAGTCTACAGGATGGAACTTGATACACCGTCTTTACTTAAAATGACAGCTGTGAAAATCAAAGGCCTTACTGTCAGTCACTTGTACTCTGATGGCCATGTTGTTTTGTCCATTTATATTGCACAATGCTGAAGAATATGAAAACTTTGACAACATGAAAATGTTTTCCTATTTACTTTTGTATTTAATTTCGCTGGTCCTATTGTGCATCACATTGATGCAATAGCTCTCTCTGCCTCTAAAGTAACACTTCTTTGACAATGGCACATGCATTTTTTGTCATTTGAGAAAAATTAATTAATTTATTTATTTTTGACTACACAACAGAACTTGAGCAAATGAGAGAGAGAGGCTGTTTGTGTATTATTATTATTCTATTTATTTCAGTTTATTCAATTTATTTATTTTCTATCATTAATACTACTATTATTTTTTTGTTAGGCAGTATTTATCTATATTCATAAAATTCATAAAAACTGTGTACACCCTTTTCTCCAAAAATCATTTTATGAGCAAATGTTTATTTTATTTTTATTTTATACAGTTATTTTATTAATTATGATTTATGTGAATGTATATAAATCTATATTGATAAAATCATTAAAAAGTTTTTAAAAATAAATAGTTTTTTTTTCTTTTATGAGCAAATGTGTTTCAGAAACGTCAGCAGTTCTTTTTAAACCCTATTATTGCCCCCCATCCTGCATGCACAAGTACGAGAAAACTCAGTGGTGCTGGCCCAGTGGCGACCCCACCTCTGAAGCTGCCTGACCCATGTCCTCCATAAAGTCTGTCCCCTTCCCGTCGCTTTGATCCCTAATGCAGCCCCCGTGGAGTCCGCTCTGATGTCCCTCTCAAAAGCCTGAGGGAGCATGGGGGGTTTGGAGCTGCCAGTGTAGGCTACTAACAGATGGTTGTGTGTGTTTGTGTGAAACAAGGCCCGGGGTTTGAGGTGTTGAGGGTTTCCAGCAGGTTGTCTCCCTGTCTAATGCCTCTAATGACAGCGTTAGTGAGATCTGACAGCTTTACTGTCAGAGAATACACACACTGCTCTTAAGGACGGTGTCTTCTGGCATGATAATGGTGTTTCATTATCACACCACAGACATGATATTTATGCATATTTATGTGGCCATCTGGGCCCTGGATGTTTAATTAGGGAATCTTGATTGAAAAATTGTGTCGGCAGACAGCTGATTAACCATGCTGATGTCATGACGGAACATTTTAACGCGTCAAAAACAACAGGTCTGGTTTTATAGGTGAAATAATAGCTGGTTTGTGTCTGGAATGGATATAAAGCGAGGGGTCTGCAGTCTCTTGTAGAGTAAAGAAGATGTGTGTGTGTGTAAAAAGGGGTGGAAAAGGGGTGAAGATCAGTCAGATGAGAACGTTAAAGGGCACTGTAGGGTTAGATCAAAGGGGAGGTGGACGAGAAGGTGGATTGCCCACTCTCTCGCTCTCTTTATCCCTGTGTTTTTCCTTCTGCAGTCCCGTCAGAGTCTCATTCATTCATGGCCATGTCTTGAAAGAGATTAGAACCTATGACTGCCAAGCCGTCCCGTCACACTTTCCGTCAGCCAATCAGGACACAGATAGTGAGTTTCTTGAAATCTATACCTGCACGTAGAGAGGCAAACAGAGGTTAGACGAGTGTAGGATCTACAGTGGATTGTCTCTCTCTCTCTCTCTGTGGCTGTATGGTTTCTTTGTGGTGGAGATGAGAGTGAAGGATGCATCAGTGACCGTGTCTTCTCTCTTCCAGTCGACTCAACACTCTGAACAAGTGTGCCTCCATGAAACTGGACGTGAGCCTCCCCAAGAAGAAAGTAAGTGGCTGTTTAATTAGTTCTTTTTTTATTTTCTTCCCTTCAGAACATTTCAATCTTAAAAGGGATTTGGGTGAATCTTATCAAAACTGTTAATATATATATATCAGTGGTTACTTGCATCAGAAAAAAAAAAAAAGTTTTTACATTAACAATGCAATCAGTATTCTGTTTATTAAAGCCATGTATGAATCTCATCAAGTTAGTGTTTTTAAGCATTTTACATTTATTCCAAAATAATAACTCAAGGCAGTAACAATATAAACAATATATTGTATTTGTGAACTAATGATCAGCTATTTTTTTTTATAGTTTAATAGAATTTTTTGGATCATCAGTCATCAAAGCTCAGTAAATATTGGTGGCAGACACAGAGATTTACTTTAAATTTCACCAAGCTGATTACTCACTAAAAACTCCCACACAGGGGATTTAATAATTTTTTTATTTTTTGGCTAATTGACAGGTTTTATAATTTTTTTATATTATTTTATTTTTTTATTTTTCTTCTCTTACTTTTAATTGCTGCAGGACAATAAACAATAATTTGTATTCTATATTATTTTTCCTATATTTTCCTAATGACAATTTTATGATTGATTTCTATACTACAGACACATTGTTTTTGCCATTTTTATCACAGAATAAAGCGGAAAATATATTTTATAGTTTCTAAAGGCTACCGTAATAAATTATATGTCAATTAGCACTGCATTATTTATATGCTTTATTTATGAAGATGACTTGGAAAAACACATATAAACCATATATTGTCGCAGTCGTGTGTTTATTGTCTTAACGTTTCATCAGTCAAAACATTTCTGCTTTTTATTCAGTTTAGTTACAGCGATAGCCGGATTCCTTTGTCCATAGTAGGGCTTTCCTGGCACGTCTTAAGTTATTAATTCTATGAAGCCGTTTTGGACTTTCTGCGTTAGAGCGCCCTCAGGCTTCGAGTATGAATGAAACATAAGAGTGTTTAGCACTCCGTAATGTTCACATTGCTTCATTTTAGATATGAATAAAATGTCAGGTCATGCGTTTTGCATTTAAATCTAGATTTATTCACACTGGCCCCTGAAAACCTCTACGTGAGCACACTTGCCTGAAAAAAGTGGGGGGAAAGAATTTACGTTTTATTAAAAGTGTGGGGGACACACATCCCCTCCCTGCAATTCGACCACTGTATGTGTATATATATATATATATATATACATACATACATACATACATGGGCGACATTAGGGGGGGGGCAAGGGGCTGATGTCGACCCCGCTGCAATTGGAGTGCTTAGCCTAAGCGCTAAATACCCTCACCGTGTTTTTGCAGGGTTGAGCAGTTTAGCCAATCACAGAGATATCTGTTGATTTCTTGAACGCAATGTCCAATCAGAAACGTTTTGTCAGAATTCACTCACCGCTGAAAGCGCCGCAGTTTTTAAATGCAGTTTTGCATGCTCGTGAATCATCTCATGACTAATGCAGACGCGATATAAATAAGAGATTCATTGTGCAGTTTAGAGAGCTTAATTGATTATAATGGAACTTTGTGAGATCGCGATGAATGACGATGAGTGACGCTTTTTAGTGATAAACAGAGCGCGCCTTGCGCACTTTCTAGGGGGTATAATCCATTCAGAATTTGTATGAAACTTTCGTTTTCCAGACACATACACCATGCAAAGTTTCAGGAATGATATCCGCAGATTTATGCGGGATTCACTCTCGAAATAGCAGTGATTGGCACTGAACATAAAATATATGAGAAAGCAGCCTCAGTGATTTAATTCTGGAACCGATCCTGGCCAAACCTCGACAGCGCGCGACCCGAGCGAGATCTAATTCACGGACCAAAAGTGTGTGTAAACTTTATTGAGATTGGGACATATCAACCAGTAATTTAATTTAATTTCCAGTAACGGTCGGTAGAAAGTTCAGCGATGAATGGTATGCGACTTATGACAGAATATAGTCCCACATCTGATGGTTTATTTTTCCTCGCCGTGTCTCGCCATTGGTAACAACGATTCAAAATGGACACATTTCAAGTGAAAACTTCAGTGAACATCAGAAAAGCTGCAAGCAGCGTGCACATTTCTGGTTAAAAATGAAAGGCCATCAACTGACAAACGGGAAGCATTGCCATTCAAGTCAGCAGCATGAGTCAAAGCTCTACAGTTTACTAAACGGTGGCAACCTCTTCAAGTTATTCTTGACTGTTTTGTATTGACTGCTTTGATGCGTTGCAATACGGTAGGGCAATACATTTTTTTCTTGCCCCCCCCCCCCCCCATGCACACACACACACACACACATTTGTAATACATTTGTTTCAGGATTTTTTGATGACTAGAAAATTCAAAAGAACAGCGTTTTTTGGAATATAAATATTTTGTAACATTAGAAATGGCTTTACTGTCATTTGCTGAATAAAAGTATTAATTTATTTTCTTTTTTTCTTTGAGTCTTACTGACCCCAAGCTTTTTAACGGTAATGCACTGTATATATGATGATTTTAAGTTATGATTTTTTTTTTAAGATTTGTAAAACATTTTAAGAGTTTAAGATTTTAAACCGAAAAAGGTGTCATTACCGTATTACATTGTATTTTGAGAACGTTGAATTTTTTTCCACATTAATGAGTATTTTGGAGAGAATGTCCTTCATTGTCATGAAAATTGTCACAATGCAAAAATTCTAATGGTGTCTTTATACAAAACACATTTTCAAATTATGAAAACACATTTCTTCACGAGATTCGCTTATTTAAATGCAAAATAAAATTAAATATCCGATCTATTGAAGAATCTATACAATTATAATGTTTTTACTATTACTGTAATGTCTCTGATTTATAGTGCCTGTGAAATAAAAATCTGTCTTTAGGGTAATTTTGTCTGTCTGGGTTTTTAAAATGGATTATTTGACCTATGAACTGCTTATAACAAAGCAGATTATATAAAAAGTCAGTCATTGGAATTGATGTTGGCTTTCAGCATAGAAGCGTCAGTTTAATCTTCAGTTGAGACTCTCTTACTGTTTACTCTGGGGTCGTATTTCAGCCTAATTATGATTGTAAGCTGTGAATCTCATTCAGTAGGTCATTTCTGACGCTTCTGCTTCTACTGACGTCTCAGGCATGTGAAAGGGGTTTTTGGGTGTTGCTGTCTTGAACACAACCAGACGGTGATTTGATACCTATATATGTTCGAGGCCTCTTGTTTGGATGATATTTGAGAATTCCCCAAACCAGCTTGTATGACATTTTTTAAATACCATGAGCCTCTTTCGACATCATCACACTTACTCTATTTAAACGTATGAGGTCTGTTATATTTTAAATAGGAAACGGGTTGTGAAGGTACACAGGTACAGACACATACAATATTAGGAGTGTCAGAGCCCTTCACAGCTCTTTCTTGTGCTGTGTGAGCACATGTGCCTGGGCTTTACTAACTACAAAACATATTGTTAATATCTGTACAAAGAACCCTTAATATCCCATGGTTTCCATCATTAAGTTAATCACCAAAAAAAAGCCGATTTTCATTTTTATATATTTATATTTAAATATAATAGAGAAAGATAGGTTATTTGTTTTAACAGTGTTCATATACATTTGTGCATTTAAAATATATTTCTTTATGTAGTGTATACACTTTTAATGCAATCAGTTGTCTTTTAAGGAACAAAAATTGGATGCATATTTTTATATTAACTGAAAAAAAATTTTGTTTGCCATGGTGTTGCTAGGTGGTTGCATACTGGCTAGAGGTCTGCACAGGCTAGGGCTGGACAATAATTCAATATCAATATGTATCGCGATATAATTTTTTTCAATAACGGTGATATGATTTTTAAACACATTTCCGATATTTCTATATACATTACCAGTTTCCCATACATTGATTTATTTGTGGCGTTTGACTTCGTTGAATAAACATGAGCACTGCACGTTTCAAAATCATAACACGGCGCGGGTGTTTTATATGAATGTATCTCTGAAGGGAACCGACTGTCTTCAGAATAGTTTAGATGGCATTTTTGTCTGATAAAGTAGCGTTCATGAGCCATGAGTCATGAGTTACAGCCATTACTGGAGAAAACCGCTAGTTCCACCAGGCTTTAAACTGAAGCCCGAACCCGACCCGTACCTGAGATCGTCTGACCCAGCCCGACCCGACCCGAGTGGCACAGTTCAATTTAGAGCCCAAACCCGAACCCGAAATCCGAGTTTTTGAATGGTTGTATACGACAAGACGATAATTCTTCCATCGTGCAAATTATGGTCATTTTCGTCAGTTAAGGCTCGTTAGCATTCGGCCTGCTTTAAATCAGACACAGAGATGCAGTGCGGTAAGATCGCATTTATTTGAATTAATTATATCATTTATTTGAATTAGCGAGAGAGAGAAAGAAAGAGAGAGAGTTGCGTGTGTGAACCTGCATCTGTGAAAAGTTTCCGTGCTGTGTTGTCGTGTGCTATAATGTGTGTGCGTGCGTCTATGAAAGCAGCGTAGCCTACTGCACATAGTTTTAGTTTAGCTATAAACCCGAGCCCGACCCGAAGCTATTCATTAAACATTAACCCGAACCGAAACCCAAAAGTATTTCGGGACCCGTTGGGCTCGGCTCGGGTAGCAGACCTCTATTTCACACACAGAGCTGTGTCTCTCCCTCACCTGCGCTGCTCTGTCGTCGTGCTGCATCATGCCCATGTGGATGGGTGGAGGGCCGCCCATCATGTTCATGGCCTGGGAGTATTTTATCGTCCACTGAGTGAGAATTGTAAGTCAGTTTTAGTTATACTACTAAATAAGGACTATATTCTATATTTCTATATCAGGAACACTGAAACACAAAAAACATGTCAACAAATTGTAATCCTGTGCTTTTTTGGTGCATGCAGAGTGAGGAGTCTGATGAGGAGGACCTGTTGGCCATCAGTAATAGATGGACGTTTGAGTGGAACAGTCGGCGCTGGTCACGTCTGCAAGACATCAATTACCTACTGGGTAGAGCAGAGGAGCAGAGCCCCTCTGAGGTGGGTGAGGGTCTCCGGACCACTGTGAGCAGCGAGAGCTTTCTGACAGATCTCAGCGAGCCAGAGATCTGCTCCCTGCACAGTGAAGACTCTTTGGCTGCCATGCCTGACTCTGCCTCGCTCACCCCACTGCACTTACCCAGAGAGCTGCCTCATTACGGTTCACTACCTGCCAAGAGCAGGCGACGTGGACGCACACGCGCCAAAGACTTCCTGAGGAGGATGGAAACACTGGGTCGGACGTGGGGGCCATCGATGGATCGCTCTGAGCGGCGCTCTTTGGTTATTAGCGGCCCAGTTCTGCAAAGCGAGCCAGAGGCACTAAAGACTCTACAATGTGTTCAGATTTTCAACGGCGGGCCTCTAAATGCTGAAAACATGCCACCAGCTAACAACTGCCCAAATTCGCTGGCCAGCAGTGAGGCTAGCAGCCAGTCTGAGATTAGCGGTAGTGCTGAAAGCACACCGAACATGATGGGACGTGTCTCAAAGTTGTATCCTCCTGGTAAACGTGCAGGCGTCTACCTAGAGGACATCGATGTTCTCACCGGCGCTCCCCAGAGGACGAGACCGGTCGAACGAAGTCGCAAAAATGAGTTCCGCTCCTATGACGAGCTATTGGTGCACATCCCAAAAGATCACAAACCTGGTACCTTCCCTAAAGCGCTGTCAATCGAGAGTCTGACGCCAGCCAGTAAGGAACACGGAAACTGGAAGGTTCTGGATTCAGAGCCGCAGCCATTCAAGTGCAGGAAAGTTGGCAGGAGGGAACTCCGGCCTGCGACACGCTGCTGCCCGCGAGGCAGCAGGATCAGTGTGTACGATAACGTACCTGGCTCACACCTCTACGCGAGCGCGGGGGACTTATTGGACCTTGAAAAGGAGGATATATTCCCACATTTGGATGACATTCTGCAGCATGTAAATGGCCTGCAGCAGATCGTGGACCACTGGTCCAAAAACGTCTTGCCGGAGAGTGAAGGGGAGGGGGATGGCGGCAGGGGGTGGAAGCAGAAGATTATTGACGGCCAGTCTTCCAGTCAAATCACACTGGACTTTGAGGGGACTTCTGTAATCAAAGGGTTGACCACACCGAGCGACGGCAACAAGGACGGGCTTTCTTTAAATGAAACAGACACCTCCAGCACCAGAGAGAGGAGGGACTCAGGGGTGGGGGCTTCCCTGACACGACCACGGTGAGACTTCAGGATTGATATACTGAGAGGCACTCATTTATGAGACTAAAATAAGACTTTCTTCCAAGAAATCACATATACATGTCTTTCTGCTAACTTGAATTTTTATTTATACTTTAGAGAGCATTAAATTATCTTTTCATAATTAGATTTACATGAATATATCATGTTGCTGTTGTATTTCTAGCCGTAGATGGCCCAGCTTCAGGATGTCAAACCTCCTCGGCCAATCAGGAATCTCGCTACAGATATCCAGCCAATCAGTGGGCCAGCTTAGCTTGCTGCAGAAGTTTTCTTTATTGCGTCTCACTGCTATTATGGAGAAATACTCCATGTCCAACAAGCATGGGTGGACTTGGTGAGTTATCTAATATACTGATTTAGTGCTCAAGAAACATTTATTTTTATCAATGTCGAAAACAGTTGTAGAAATGGTGATACGAAAATTTTTTAGGATGATTTGATAAATAGAAGGTTTGAAAGAACTGCATTTATTTGCAATATAAATATTTTCTAACATAAATGTCTTTGTTACTTTGATCAATTTAATGCAATTAAATTGAATAAAAGTATTAATGTCTTTCAAAAAAAAAAAATGTCTGACCCCAGACTTTTGAAGGGTATATACATACACGTTGAAGCAACAAGATGAATCAGTCAGGGAAAATCCCTGTGGGATGCGATTAGGGGAATTCTAGTCAGTTCTTTGCTCTTATTGAATGACACTCTGATCAAAGTGTCTCCTCAGTTAAGCGAGTTTTGTGTTAAAACTCCAGAGCTTGTGGAACAATCTCATCCTGCCATCTACATCACAGTTCTGCCTTTAAACTCTGTGCACTCTTCCATTTACACTCCCCCCTGCGTTATATATAATCAAGATTCTTATATCAGATCCTACACACAGACAGACTATATACACACTTACGGCCATAAACTGATCTCCTCTTCTCAGTACTCTGTGTATATGTTCTTAGGTCAGTGCCAAAATTTATGAAGAGAATGAAGGGACCAGACTACAAGGATAAGATGGTATTCGGTGTTCCTCTGATTGTCCATGTTCAGCGGTATGGACACCCTCTGCCCATAAGCTTACAGCTCGCCCTGCGCTTTTTAAGGAGCCAGTGTTTGGACCAGGTACACAGTTTCATTCACATTTGCAAGACTGATTATAAGGTTCGTTCTAATTTAGGCCAGAGTCAAAGTTATTCCAAACTCAGTAAAAAACTTGATGTCCAGCCACTGCTCAATTCTTAAAGCCACACAAACCCTAATAGTGTTTTATTTTCTTCCTGTATGTTGATGTCTTAGTAATTCAAAATCAAATAAAATGTATTTGCTGAATTTTGTTTTAATGGTGCATTGTATTACTATTGCTCATGTTTAGGGTTTTGTTTTTGTACAAATGTTTGTGTTGCGGTTATGAATGATACCTCTAATTGTGTGGCTTGTTAAGTCGAGGAGTGCTATTTCTTTTCTAAGTGATCAGACACCACGATTTTGTTCTGGCAGATGAAAAAATGACTGAAAAAAGTCCATAAGCTTAAATAGAAAGAGGGACCCAAGTCATAGACCAGAACATCATAGAGACTTTGAGGTGGGATGTTTTGATATTTGAATTAATTATATCATTTATTTGAATTAGCGAGAGAGAGAAAGAAAGAGAGAGAGAGAGAGGGATGAAAGTTGCGTGTGTGAACCTGCGTCTGTGCGCCTCTCTCTACAAGCAATGAGGCTTAGTTCCTTCAAAAACAGCGATTTTTACCCCCTCATTGCAGAGAAATATAAAGTTGCGAGTCAGTAGCCTGTCGAAGCTATTTTACTAATAAAAGTTTCCATGCTGTGTTGTCGTGTGCTATAATGTGTGTGCGTGCGTCTATGAAAGCCGCGTAGCCTAGGCTACTGCATATAGTTTTAGTTTAGCTATAAACCCGAGCCCGAGCCCGACCCGAACCCGAAGCTATTCATTAAACATTAACCCGAACCCGACCCGAAACCGGGTAGCAGACCTCTAATACTGGCCCTAATAAAAACAGAGTACCCATCCCCAAATCTTGGTGATATTTCTCTATGGGAGTATTCACCCATTTTATCGTCCACTGAGTGAGAATTGTAAGTCAGTTTTAGTTATACTACTAAATAAGGACTATATTCTATATCTTTAGTTTAGGAACACTGAAACACAAAAAACATGTCAACAAATTGTAATCCTGTGCTTTTTTGGTGCATGCAGAGTGAGGAGTCTGATGAGGAGGACCTGTTGGCCATCAGTAATAGATGGACGTTTGAGTGGAACAGTCGGCGCTGGTCACGTCTGCAAGACATCAATTACCTACTGGGTAGAGCAGAGGAGCAGAGCCCCTCTGAGGTGGGTGAGGGTCTCCGGACCACTGTGAGCAGCGAGAGCTTTCTGACAGATCTCAGCGAGCCAGAGATCTGCTCCCTGCACAGTGAAGACTCTTTGGCTGCCATGCCTGACTCTGCCTCGCTCACCCCACTGCACTTACCCAGAGAGCTGCCTCATTACGGTTCACTACCTGCCAAGAGCAGGCGACGTGGACGCACACGCGCCAAAGACTTCCTGAGGAGGATGGAAACACTGGGTCGGACGTGGGGGCCATCGATGGATCGCTCTGAGCGGCGCTCTTTGGTTATTAGCGGCCCAGTTCTGCAAAGCGAGCCAGAGGCACTAAAGACTCTACAATGTGTTCAGATTTTCAACGGCGGGCCTCTAAATGCTGAAAACATGCCACCAGCTAACAACTGCCCAAATTCGCTGGCCAGCAGTGAGGCTAGCAGCCAGTCTGAGATTAGCGGTAGTGCTGAAAGCACACCGAACATGATGGGACGTGTCTCAAAGTTGTATCCTCCTGGTAAACGTGCAGGCGTCTACCTAGAGGACATCGATGTTCTCACCGGCGCTCCCCAGAGGACGAGACCGGTCGAACGAAGTCGCAAAAATGAGTTCCGCTCCTATGACGAGCTATTGGTGCACATCCCAAAAGATCACAAACCTGGTACCTTCCCTAAAGCGCTGTCAATCGAGAGTCTGACGCCAGCCAGTAAGGAACACGGAAACTGGAAGGTTCTGGATTCAGAGCCGCAGCCATTCAAGTGCAGGAAAGTTGGCAGGAGGGAACTCCGGCCTGCGACACGCTGCTGCCCGCGAGGCAGCAGGATCAGTGTGTACGATAACGTACCTGGCTCACACCTCTACGCGAGCGCGGGGGACTTATTGGACCTTGAAAAGGAGGATATATTCCCACATTTGGATGACATTCTGCAGCATGTAAATGGCCTGCAGCAGATCGTGGACCACTGGTCCAAAAACGTCTTGCCGGAGAGTGAAGGGGAGGGGGATGGCGGCAGGGGGTGGAAGCAGAAGATTATTGACGGCCAGTCTTCCAGTCAAATCACACTGGACTTTGAGGGGACTTCTGTAATCAAAGGGTTGACCACACCGAGCGACGGCAACAAGGACGGGCTTTCTTTAAATGAAACAGACACCTCCAGCACCAGAGAGAGGAGGGACTCAGGGGTGGGGGCTTCCCTGACACGACCACGGTGAGACTTCAGGATTGATATACTGAGAGGCACTCATTTATGAGACTAAAATAAGACTTTCTTCCAAGAAATCACATATACATGTCTTTCTGCTAACTTGAATTTTTATTTATACTTTAGAGAGCATTAAATTATCTTTTCATAATTAGATTTACATGAATATATCATGTTGCTGTTGTATTTCTAGCCGTAGATGGCCCAGCTTCAGGATGTCAAACCTCCTCGGCCAATCAGGAATCTCGCTACAGATATCCAGCCAATCAGTGGGCCAGCTTAGCTTGCTGCAGAAGTTTTCTTTATTGCGTCTCACTGCTATTATGGAGAAATACTCCATGTCCAACAAGCATGGGTGGACTTGGTGAGTTATCTAATATACTGATTTAGTGCTCAAGAAACATTTATTTTTATCAATGTCGAAAACAGTTGTAGAAATGGTGATACGAAAATTTTTTAGGATGATTTGATAAATAGAAGGTTTGAAAGAACTGCATTTATTTGCAATATAAATATTTTCTAACATAAATGTCTTTGTTACTTTGATCAATTTAATGCAATTAAATTGAATAAAAGTATTAATGTCTTTCAAAAAAAAAAAATGTCTGACCCCAGACTTTTGAAGGGTATATACATACACGTTGAAGCAACAAGATGAATCAGTCAGGGAAAATCCCTGTGGGATGCGATTAGGGGAATTCTAGTCAGTTCTTTGCTCTTATTGAATGACACTCTGATCAAAGTGTCTCCTCAGTTAAGCGAGTTTTGTGTTAAAACTCCAGAGCTTGTGGAACAATCTCATCCTGCCATCTACATCACAGTTCTGCCTTTAAACTCTGTGCACTCTTCCATTTACACTCCCCCCTGCGTTATATATAATCAAGATTCTTATATCAGATCCTACACACAGACAGACTATATACACACTTACGGCCATAAACTGATCTCCTCTTCTCAGTACTCTGTGTATATGTTCTTAGGTCAGTGCCAAAATTTATGAAGAGAATGAAGGGACCAGACTACAAGGATAAGATGGTATTCGGTGTTCCTCTGATTGTCCATGTTCAGCGGTATGGACACCCTCTGCCCATAAGCTTACAGCTCGCCCTGCGCTTTTTAAGGAGCCAGTGTTTGGACCAGGTACACAGTTTCATTCACATTTGCAAGACTGATTATAAGGTTCGTTCTAATTTAGGCCAGAGTCAAAGTTATTCCAAACTCAGTAAAAAACTTGATGTCCAGCCACTGCTCAATTCTTAAAGCCACACAAACCCTAATAGTGTTTTATTTTCTTCCTGTATGTTGATGTCTTAGTAATTCAAAATCAAATAAAATGTATTTGCTGAATTTTGTTTTAATGGTGCATTGTATTACTATTGCTCATGTTTAGGGTTTTGTTTTTGTACAAATGTTTGTGTTGCGGTTATGAATGATACCTCTAATTGTGTGGCTTGTTAAGTCGAGGAGTGCTATTTCTTTTCTAAGTGATCAGACACCACGATTTTGTTCTGGCAGATGAAAAAATGACTGAAAAAAGTCCATAAGCTTAAATAGAAAGAGGGACCCAAGTCATAGACCAGAACATCATAGAGACTTTGAGGTGGGATGTTTTGACTTGGTTCAATAAAGCTCCGGTCACGTTAGCAAAATGTAATGTACAAAAAAGGTCTATTGTCGATAGTGTTCCGATGCATGATGCGCCACACACACAGAGGTCACTTTCAAATCAAACAGCTTTGATTTGACATTTTTGCCCTTGTAAAACTCTCAATTATGAGGATTCCTATTGAGATGAATGGATTTCGCCAGCTAAATTTCACTGAGCAACGATGAATGTGACCACACCTTCAGCAGCCACCCAAACAAATCCTAACAACCACTTAGCAGCTACTAGGCTATCACACACAACACCCTAGAATCACAAGTACCACTCACATTTTATGTAAAAAAGATACAAATCTTATTTGCTTTTCTCATTATGTTTCAGGTGGGACTTTTCCGTAAATCCGGTGTAAAGTCTCGTATTCAGGCTCTGCGGCAAATGTGTGATACCTCTCCACAAAATGTGAACTACGAGGATCAGTCAGCGTATGATGTGGCAGACATGGTCAAACAGTTCTTCAGAGACTTGCCTGAGCCTCTCCTCACGAGCAAAATGGGCGAGACCATCCTCCACATATACCAGTGTAAGAGCATTTCCTGTCTGTTACGAGCTTTTCTGCCCAAATACTTCTTACAGTACTTTCAAATCCCTAAAACACTCTATAATACTCTGTCTAACCAGATGTCCCTAAAGAACAACGCTTACAGGCGGTGCAGGCAGCTATCATGTTAATGGCCGATGAAAACCGTGAGGTCTTGCAGACGCTGCTGTGCTTCCTAAAGGATGTCACTTCCTCTGTTGAGGAGAACCAGATGACCCCAATGAACCTGGCGGTGTGCCTCGCTCCTTCTCTCTTCCACCTCAACATCATGAAGAATGACAACCTGTCGCCTAGGTAACGGAGTTCCGTTTTTGCACATTCCAAACACATGTGCTCAACTTAGAAAGGCTTTCATTATTGTATAAGAGCTATAGGATGATATGTGTGCTTTGTCATTAAGTCTCCAGGGCCTTGAGGGGTCGTGAGAAGGTGTGAAGTGTTTTATTAACTCAACATACAGACAACTCCCCCATCATTGTGTTCATTAGGGAGCAT